GGGCCCGGGCGGCGGGGCGTGCGAGCCGCGGGGCGGAGAGCCGAGCTCGGGGCCGGTGCGGCGCGAGCTCAAGCAGTTCCTGGGCTGGCTCAAGAAACACGCGTACTGCTCGAACCTTAGCTTCCGCCTCTACGACCAGTGGCGAGCCTGGATGCAGAAGTCACACAAGACCCGAAACCAGGTAGGAAGGAGGGGCCGGTGGGAAGGAAGTGAAGTGGGAGCTGGGAGGGAAATGGGCAGGGCAGGTAGGTCCGCAGCCCCCAGACACTGCGTCCTTCCTTCCAAGCACAGGACGAGGGGATCCTGCCCTCGGGCAGACGGGGCACGGCGAGAGGTAAGGGGGGCCCAAGTGGATGGCGGTAGGGAGACAAGGGCCCCTCCTGGTGGCCACAGGCTGCGGTCCCCTACCCTTAGCCTTGGAGCGCTAAGATAGAACTCTTGCTCTTTTATCAGCATTTACTTGACTCCTAACTGTATGCCTGGCTCTGTGATCTTTAGCTCCGTAAGAGCATCGACCCCCTGAAAATGTCTGATGAACATACCCTAGTTAGCATGTTTGAGCACCTACTGCATGCTGGCCTTGTGCCAAGTGCTTTACCTACAGGACACCTCATGATGGATATTCTTACTTCTCTGATGAAGAAACCAAGGCCCAGAGAAGGGCAGTGCCCTACCCAAGGTCATCCAGTTGAAAGTGGTGGGTGTGAGGCCTGAATAAGACCTTAGTTGCTGTTTCTGGCCCCTCCAAGGTCCCTGCATAAAATGGCTTCCTCTTTGCTTGCAGGTTCTGCCAGATAAACTCTAGGGGATAGAGCTGACCTCCTTGCAGCCTGGAGAACTGGAGGCCACACCCAGTTGAGAGCCACCTCTGTACCCTTGCCTCAGGGAGTGCATTCAGAGCTTCAAGGGCCACACAGCTCAGATCTCCATGTGTGCCCCAGTGGGTGTGTTGGGGATGGTAGTAGCTGAGCTGCCCGGAACCCCTGCCTGGGTTGTGGTAAAGAGAGGTCATTACTTCCCCCACCCTGGACACCTCCAGAGTCTTTTTAAATAAACAAGCTATTTAGGTGCCTTGATTGTGAAGGTGAGTTTGGGGTCTGAGTGGCCTGGTCTGGGTTGAGGACAATGGGCTTTTGGGGAGGCCTGAGGAATCCCAATGACTGTAGGGATGGAATCTTAGACTATCAAACTCTTTTTCTCCAGGATCTGAAATTGCTGATTTTTTTTTTAAGGTTTATTTTTATGCATACAAGAACTGGGGTACAGGCCAGAGGTGCAGGAGAGTGAGACAACTCACCAGAAACAGAGTGGGGAGCAGACAGGCAAATCTACCAAAATACACTGCTGAGGGGAGCAGCAGGTGGGTCAGGAGAGGTCTGCCACTCTACCTGGGTCACCCCCTCGCCAGGGATTGAACTCAGGCTTCGGAAGTGGATAGCTTCATAGTGTTGGCTTTAACCTATTGTGCCACCTAGGAGGGCCCTGAAATAGTTGATTCTTAACTCCTTGGAGAGTGTGAATCCAAACACCAGGCTTTCTACAATCTGAGGTGGGTATGAAATCATCCAGCTGCCATCCCTGCCCTGTGGGGGCCCATTCCTCACTAAGTACCCCAGAACACAGAGACAGTGGAGTGGCTATGGATAAAAGGTCCTTTATTGTGGGAGGTGCAGCACAGGTGAGGGTCAGCAGCACAGCAGGGTGCAACCCCCACCAGCAGGTGGTCAGGGCTGGGATGGACGCCATCCACCCCATTTCCCTCAGTACATCCCTTGGGAGCCACCATCACTCAGCAGATTCTGCATCAAACCTGAGATCCTGGAGGACCTCGCTGATCGCCTCCATGGTTTTAATTACCCTACAAGAACGGATGGGAACTATAAATAAAACCCAGATGGGGTGAATTAGTTGCCGCTGCGTAGCTTCAAGGGAGCTGTGGCAAGCTCTGGGCCCTCCTGCCCGCCGCCAACCTCCAGCCAACATCATCAGTCAGGAGGACCACTAGATGCCTGGGAGGAATGGGTCAGAGCGGGCAAAGAATGGTCATCCTGGAGTGGGGATATCATCTGGATGATGTGCTGTGTGACTGATTGGCAAATCTTGAGTGGGTGTGTACTTATGTGCTTTGGGAGCTAAGGGCAAGAATATGCAAGCATGTGCCTGTCTGGGCCAGACTCAGGAGCAGGATTGTGTGAGGTGCACAACTGGGTTCTGCAAGTGTACAGCCACTCAGTGTGAAAATTCAACACGTTCACTGGGGTAATATGTGCTGCATGGCTGGAAGCTACCAAATGACTTAGATGCCTGTCCACCCCGAGCTATGCGCAAGCCAGAGCATGGGTACCTATGGGTGCATGTGCAAATCTAGCTCAGCCAACCGGCTGGACATTAGTGCTCACTTGATCTTCAGCTGGTCCATCTGTATGGTGTCTTCCTGCTCAGTCAGCTCCGGTGTCCCCAGCAACTGCAGCAGGGCCACCTGGTGGGGGTGTGAATGCCATAGGCTACCCCCAGCCTTCAGGCTACCCCCAGCCTTCCCCAGTTCAGGAAGACTGGGGCATCAGGGGAGCGCACCAGGATCATGCTTTAGGAAAGGAGTCCACAGGATCTCCTTCAGACCCAGTCTGCAGGACTAGAGCATGATTTGGGTATAGAGTTGGAATAGGGGCAAAATCAGGGATCCGAGGAGGATGTAACTGGGCGTGGCCTCAAGGCTTCAGGAGGCGGGGCAAAACAATCTGAGCGTGAAATTCAAAAATTTAGAGACCAGGAATTGGAAGGGGGTGTGGCCAATAATCCCAGCGGTCATGGGCGTGGCCTCATGTGAATTTGTCCTGGATATAGTGTATCTCAGGGCATAGCCGAGAACCTAGGCGGGGATCTAGGGTTTCTCCCGAGGAGGTGTAGCGTCTACCATCAACAGATTAAGGACCCTACGGAGGCTTCAGGAAAAGGTAGATGGGGTAGGGCACTAAGGGGCCGGACTCTGGGCATCCAGCAATAGTGTGAGGGTTGGGATGGAGTGGGGAGGTTGGAGTGGGTGTCTCCTGAGGACAAGACCTGGAAAATGGGGGCGAGAGAAAGGGACTTCGAGTCTGGGATCCCCGGATAGGGAGGAGCCTCCAGCAAGGGGGCTCACAGTGGGCAGAGCAAGCCGTAGCCAGAGAGATCAGGAGGGACTAGCACATGGTAGGGGGAAATCTCACCGTGGCCAGACGTGTCTGCTCCAGTTGCTGAAGGCTGCGCACATGGCCGGCGAGAAGCGGCTGCGCTCGCGGCCCGGCAAATTCTGCCTCCACAGCCAGCACCTCCCGCGAGGCGGCAGCGAAGGTCTGGGTCACCTCGTGCACCGTATTCCGGTAGCGCGGAAAGTCGCAGGGCGGGCCGCTCTGCAGGTACTGGCGATGGCCTCTGCGGCAGGTGGGAGGGTGCTGAGGCCATGCCCCCTGGCGCTCAAGCCCTGCACCCGCATCGACCACCAGAAAGCCTGCCCCAGGAAGTGTCCCTGGGCCCCACAGCGTGGGGCTCTTAACTTCCACAGGGTAACAAGAGACAAACCCAGCACCACGGCGTTGGGTAATGGAGAAAAGCGATGCAGTGGGACGTCGGGTAGTGGGGATGAGCCATGGATCCCTGAGAGCAAAAAGGTCTCCAGATCCCTTGGCCATCCCTCGCCCCCCTCCGCCCCACCATACCGCCCCGGGCACGCCCACCCCCGAGCCGGCCAGGGGCTGGCTCTCGTTACTCCTGCCAGCCCCAGAAGCTGCACTCACTCCTCCAAGCGGCGGAAGGCCTGCGAACGTTCAGCCTGCAGTTGGTGGATGCGCTGCACCAGCGTCCGGATCGGGGCATCTTTCTACAGGGCAGGGCCGGGGCATGAAGCTGGCGCCCCGAACTGTACCTCCCACCCCGCGCCCTGTACAGCTCGTGCTTGGCTCACCCAAGGCCAAGTCGGCTCTTCGCGCTCCGAGACTCCGGGGGCTTCGGCAGCACTGGGCTCCGCTAGGACAGCCGGCTCAGCGGGAGCCTCGGCAGTGAACATGACTGTGCAGCAGAGTTCCGCCGGGGACTAAGTTGCTCCTCGGGCCGGCGCCCCCTATAGGCTTGGAGGTCTCCAGACACTAACCTGAGACCCGTGAAGAATGGAGCCAAGGCACCGTCCATCTACACCACTTGGGATGGTTCAGCACATCTTGTTTTCGTCGTCAATCTAATACAGCCAGGCTAGGTTTGTTTCTATACTCCTATTTCTCCTCCATCCTGACTCCGCTTAGTGTAAAACGTAAAGGTGATATTCACAAGGCATTAGGTTCTGACACTGGTAAACTTTTTCTAACTCCCCTAGATTTGCAGGCTGTCAACACCTCAGAATAAGTTGAAGCAGGAGGAACCTGTGGAAAGTCCCTGGGGTGGGAGTCTGGCACAGGGGTGAGGCTAGTAGAGCCTCATTTTAAATGCAGAGGAAGATTGTTGCTGGAAGATTTAACTAGTTTAAGCTTTTAGAAGTTTTCTCCCAAGTAGAGGCCAAAGGAAATTGAAGTTGCATTACACCTAACGGGATGAGTTATGGTGCCTGACACCCCAGCCTTTACCTGGTACAAGAGGCATCACTGTCCAGTCCTACAGTATCACCTATACCAAGACCCCATTGCTTGTTTGTTTTTAATGTTTATTTACTTAATGCATACAAGAACTGAGGTATAGGCCAGAGGTTGGTGGGGGGATTAAGAGGATTCACCGGTGTGAGGAGCAGAACAGGCTTATCAACTGAAATACACTGCTGAGGGGAGAAGCAGGCAAGACAGGTCTGCTGTGCCATATAGGTCACCTCCCTGGCCAGGGATCAAACTCATGCTTCATAGTGCTGTGCTTTACACCCTGCAGAGCCAGGGAGGTCCCCCACACTGCTTTAAGACAAAAGCAGCAACCAGGGCCAGCTCCTGGCACAACCCACACTTAATTTGTATGGAGATTTGAATTGTTACAATCACCAAGGCCTGTCACTCCCAGACTGGTTTCAAGTGGGGCCCTATGTTCAAAACTGAGGTGTCTTAAACTAGGTGGAGTGTTCCTTAATCTCTACATGTGAACACCAGGACCAGTGTGAATATTAATGAGCCTGACCTGGGCGTCCCTGGTGTGTCAGGGACTGACAGCAACCACAGGTTGTTGGGGTTCAGAACAGGCAGGGTCTTAAGGTGGGAGCAGCGTTGGCAAGTGGAGATTTCTAAAAGGGGGGAAAAAGGGGAGCGGGCGCGAGGAAGACAGGGGTATCAGAGTTGGGTGCAAATCTTCCTGTTCTGCTGTCAGCAGTTTGTTTTATATATTTCAAGCAAGCTGTGAGATAACATTAGCATATGAATTGGGCTGAGATCACAATCATCTCTATTCTGAGAACAGTTTGGGTTGTATTGACCTTCAGCTGAGATTATAACATTCTTAAAATCGATCTAATAAAATTAAGATAGGTACATAAATTCATAAAATTTAAGGCTAACATTATTATATTTATCACAGTGATGACTGGCTAAAATAAAGTCCCTTTAAACCTTAAATGCCACTTAATGATCTTCATTCTCATTGAAATATTTTAGAGGGTAAAGTAGTTGAGGGTTAGAGTGGAGGCTGGGCTGGAGATGTGAAAGAGTAGATAAAGTGAGGTCGCAGGCCAAGGAGAAGTTGTGAAAGAGGGTAAGGTAAAATGAAAGACTAGAGTGGCAGAGTTTTCTGGTAGATAAATCACTAAGGGAGATAGTTAAGATTCCTCATTTAAAGACTTAGCAATAAAAGAAAAATACCGGATGGTTTCGCTCATAGGAGTATAATGAACCAGGCGAGAAAATAAGAATGAAGAACAGCCTTATACCAGAGACATTTTGTGGGGGTGGAGTGGGCAATGGGATCAAAAATGGGGGTGGGGGCTGGGGGGAGAAGTGCACTGGACTTTGGTGATGGCACATGGGTGACTTGGTGATGCCCTGTAAGTCCACAGGGATTACAATTGAGATGAAAAAAAAAAATGTACAAAATGATATAAACTATTATTAAAAAAAAAGACTAAGTAATAAAAGCTTAAGTAAGAGAGTACAGTGATTTGGGAACTTATTTTCTAACATTCTAGTACTGCCTTGCCTTACAATATTGATTTTGCTATAATTGCTTTTATTTATCAGAATATAAATAATATATTATTATTATATTAAAATATATTAAAATAATGTAATATGATTTTTGCTTTCAAGAGGAATTTCCTGTCTTGGGGCAGCACTTGTTCACCTGAGCCAGACAGCACCTTATGAGGATAAGGCAATCTGGTTGCAAGCTGATGGTTGCTGAGAATATTTTATTACAAGAAAGGGAGGTCATAACATAAGTTAACGTGGAAATTCTGAATTTTCAGAGCATTTCCCCTCCGTCTGGAATTTGTCCGTTGACAGAAGTTGCATATAGCTTGTGTCACTGGTGACCTAAGGTTAAATCTCAGAGATATCACTGCTACAGCCTGAGTTCCATCCCTAACCAAGGAGCTTACTCACCCACTGTTCTCCTTAGCACTGTATTTCAGTATATCTGCCTGCTGTTGTTACCCACTATCTCTGGTAAATCTTCTCATCCCCTGCACCTCTGGCCTATACCCCAGCTCTTCTATACACACACAAAAAGAACTTAAATCAAGGGCCCTCCCTGGTGGCACAGTGGGTTAAAGCACAGCACTGAGAAGCTAAAGCCACTTCCGCATGAGTTCCATTCCTGCCTGCCCCAGAGGAGACCACATGGCGTGGCAGACCTCTCCTGACCCGCCCGCTGCTCCCCTCAGCAGTGTACTTCGTTGATCTGCCTGTTCTGCTCCCCACTCTGTCTCTGGTGAAGCCTCTCGCTGCCCCTGCACCTCTAGCCTGTATGCATAAATAAATAAATCTTTAAAAAAAAAAAAAGAACTTAAATCAAAACACTGAGCTGGTCTCACCAGTTCCTATACTAGGGAGTCTTTATTCCCATGTTATAAATGACAAGACTCAGACGGGCAAGGCCCACCAGGCCTTGTGGCTGAGGGCTAGGGCTGAATCCTGCTCTTCATTATGGTTATGACAGATTAACAGATTGAAGGAGCAGGGCCAACAGCTCATTTTATAACTGACAACCAAAACTCTCAAATGTCTGTAAGAATAGCAATAGTCCTGGGAGTGGGGTATGAGGATGACAATGATAAACAGCATACACAGTTCAGTCACCACCCTACTGGATAAATCAGACACCTGGACACCAGTTACTGCTTCAGTCAATGAAAGGGAAACTTTATTGAGGCCCGAGCCATGGGACTTGGGCAGAAGGATGCCTTGCAGGCAGAGAGGAAGGGTCTTATTTGACCTTCTTCTTGGGGCGCAGGTTGTTGGTGTGGCCACACTTCTTCTTGCGGCAGTTGACAGCGCGGGGGTGCAGGCGAGCATAACACCTGTACAGGGATTAAGGGATTGGTGAGGGCCCCCTTCCCACCTCTAAGCTTTTCTACCAGATCACCTGGTTGCAGCTGTATTTCTAACCATCCCTTCTGGTTTGAGTACATACTTGCGGCAGATCATCTTGTCGCAGTTGTATTTCTGGGCCAGCTGGCGAAGAGAGGGCTCAATGATGCCACCCCGAAGGCGCAGTACCAAGTGCAGGGTAGACTCTGCAGGAAATGAAGGTTGGAGAGAAAGACTGAGCCGTGGTGCCCCAAGTATAAATCAGAGCACTTCATGTGCCAAGGGGGTAAGTCTGAACCAGAACCCCTTTGGAGTTCTGCATGTAGACAGACAAATCAGACCCAAAGAACTTCATCACTTCCCACCAGTCCTGGCCGGAGGTTGATGGTGGGGGGGAAAAGTCTCTCAGGCGAACATATGCCAAAGAATATTTCTGAGTCTCCTGATGAGACTTCTGATGCTAGACAAAACAGTTAAATCTTGTTGCTGCAATAAATGGCACTGATTTCCTTTACAATAGTTAAAACTTTTGATCAAGACCCAAGTCTTATTTGGGAGAAAAAAAAAAAAGATGAATGAGAACACAAAACCAACCATTTGGAGATGACACTTTCCAGTGGTAAAAAAATTTATGAAGCAAGACTCTCAACCCATCTCACCCTCACTAAGAACATCTTCCCTAGGCCTCTCTGGTGGTGCAGGGTTAAAGACAGTGCTATCAGCTATCACCCACCACTGCAGTGCAAGTTCCATCCCCTGCCAGCCAGGGAGCTAACCCCTATCCCACATGACACAGCAGACTTCTCCTGACCTCCCCTCAACAGTGTACTTCAGTAAATCTGCCTCTTCTGCTTCCCACTGTCTCTGGTGAATCTTCTCACCCCCACCCCTGCACTTCTGGCCTACACCCTAGCTCTTGTATGTATAAATAAACAAATCTTTAAAACGGCTTTCCTTGTGCGTCCAGTAGCTAGCAGTGCTCCTCCCCAGAGCCTAGGCCCCCTAGGGCCCTGGTCAGCCTCCCATACCTTTCTGAATATTGTAGTCTGAGAGAGTGCGTCCATCTTCCAGCTGTTTGCCAGCAAAAATCAGACGCTGCTGGTCAGGTGGGATGCCTAGAAAGAGGAAATGTTACATTATGGAGTTGCTATGTGACTATCAAAAGAGAAAAAAAAAATAAAGATCAGTTGCCAGTCATCACAGAGGAAGTACTATCAAGCAAATTGTACTAATCCAGCAACCAAGTGTGGGGTGTGGGCAGAGGCAGAGAGAGGGAACCCTGTTGCATAGGCCTCTACAGGCCTATAGATACTCACCCTCCTTGTCTTGGATTTTGGCTTTGACATTCTCAATGGTGTCACTGGGCTCAACCTCAAGGGTGATGGTTTTGCCTGTCAGGGTCTTCACAAAGATCTGCATTTCGGCGACTGCTGATGAGGAAGTGGTGGAATGGTGGTAAAGCAGTAGTTCTGAATGGCTGGTAGGGAGAGTGATGTTAGCCCTGGCCCTGACTGTCAGCCTTCAAATCCAGTGCCCATTGCCTTCCATACCCTGCCACATAACTCCATTGTATATGGCAGACCCCTGTGGCAAGAAGGTGTCCAAGGGCACATGATTACGCTCCTCAGATTGGTCAAACTCCGTAGATGGAACAATAAATGTGGCCAAGGCATCATCCTCTCTCCCCTCTTGCCAGCCCCTGGTCACATGGCTCCACATAATGCCCTTCCTGCCGCCTGGAATTAGCCATACCAACACATACTCTCCACTCAACAGCCCCTCGCCTCTGCTCCACTCCAAACTGGACACCCAACATTCTATCTTGCTTTTGGTACTCCCGAATTCGCCAGACCGTGCTTCAAGTCCCAACCTTTAAGCAGTATCTGCAAACCACGTGCTAGGCCCTCATTTATACGTAACACTCCAATTCCCAATTAGGGAAAAAGGGGGCGGCGGAGGAGGGCCTGTGAGATGGAAGCAACTACTGCTTTCTCCTTCGAGGATGGAAGCTGGGAAAGATTCGGCCCCAAGGTTTTGTACTCCCTCTGATTTGGAGTAAAAGCCGCACGTCCAAGGCCCTCCCCCACTAACTCGGCTCTACTCGCGGGAGCCCTGTTCCAAACCTTCGCGAAACGCTCAGGCTGGCGGCACAACCTGGCCGCTCTCCCGAATCCCGAGTCGCCTTCAGGGCCCAATCGGGGGTCAGAACCGAGCCCTACGCGCCTCGTGCGAACGAGCTCACGACCGCCCTCTTCACTGCCCGGACCCCCACAGTCCCCACCAGTCCCTTGCCCACCGTGAACCCGCAAAGGCGCCGCCACCGACCCGCTCAGCCGCCTCGTTGTAGAGAAAGAGGGCGGCGGAACCGGAAACCTCCAATTCGCTGCCGGGAGCGCTTGCGCACGAGGCACGCTGCGTGCCTGCGTCACAGTCCGTCAGGCCCCGCCCTCGGCCACACCCACGTCACGTTGGTTGCTGGCGGTCAGAGCCACGGTCTACCAGTCCCTTCCGGGTGCGGGCTCCTCCCACCCACTCAAGTAAAGGATCGCCGCACCTTTCCCCACCTGGCTTGGCCACCTCCTGCCTTCGAGTCAGGCATTCGGAGTACTTGTGGTTCGGGTAAAGGAAACTGGCGCTGAAGCAAGGTCTCTAAACGGAGGAACCCCAAGGGCGCAGGACGTGAGGCCCAGGGCGGGAGAGGGGTGCAGAGACCCCACCGAGTCGGTCACTTGGCAACTCCATGACCACAGTGCACTCGGAGACTGCACTGGGGCAGCGGGGAGCGGGGATCAGGGAGCGCTGGAGGGGCTGCTGCTAGCTCGGGAAGGTGGGCTGGGACCTGGATCTGTTCCGGATACAGGACCAAAACTCGTGGATGGTTAAAAGTGCAGGGCACTGGACCTAGAGGTGAGAGCTAAGAAATTACTCCTGGGCTTGGTAGTGTGCGGGTTCCAGAACAGAAGGGAGACACTGCTAGGTGTACCCTTCCCTTTTTAGTAACAGAGTCTTTATTGATAACTTCCCAACAGCATCTGTAAACATCAGGTACAAAAATACTCCATTAAACTGTTTTCCAAGGTGGCTTGCCTTGAGCCACAGAGACCCTGGGACAGGCCAGCTGGGCCCTCAGCATGCACACCTCTGGTCAGAGAAACAGATTTCAACAAGGCTTAGGGCTGAGTGAATGCCAGCCCCATCCTGGGCCTTCTATAGCTGTCTAAGAAATCTTGACATGGGATTACAGAAAAGTATTCAATACTTTTGTTTTAGGAAGGTGCAGGATAAAGAACCAGAATTAGTGGATGCCAAGGGTGGGCTGAAGGGACCTTGGATATGATAGTACTTGTCTACCTAAAGGTCCTGACAAGGGAGCAGGGACAGGCGACATCTGGCTCTGGTCTCGGAGAACCTTCAAGTCTTTTTCAGAGCAGATCTCAGGCCCACTCTAGAAAAGCTCCCTGTGGCCCACTGACTGATGGGGCTGCTTACTCCTGGGACAGGTAGAGGGTCTGCAGAAGAGCTCTCAGTCGAGATGTGGGGAAGAAAGGCCCCCAGGAATGCCATGCCCCTGGTAGAAGCCTTGTCCCCCAGAAGCCCCATATGACAGAACAGGGTGGTAGAGTGGATGATGACAAGGCAAGGTTCCCTACTGCCCTCAGGGCACCAGGGACTAGGGCTACTCGCCCGGCATCTCCTCATCATCTGTCTGGCTGCGGCCATTGATTGCAGGGGAGCTGGGCTGGGGGTGAGACAGATCCTCGAAGCCAGGGCTGAGGGAAGGCGACACGGTGTCAGGGCTGGTGTCGCAAGAGCCGGTGCTCTGTTCTGAGGTGGCAATGGTGGTTGTGGTGCTAGGTGGGATGGGGTCTTCATCCTCATCCTCCAGGAGGGACGCCTCTGGTATATCTGGGGAAGGAGGTCCCAGGGTTGGCCTTCCTGAGGCTTGTGACACAGCACCACCCACCCCATAGGCAAGATGGCTCATTTTACAGAAGAGGAAACTAAGGCCCAACCAGGTAGGAGGCCTATCTGGGAGATGAGAACCAGGGTTTTCTGGGTCAGGATGAGCCTGCACCTGGCTGTGTCTGGCCCCTCATCTGCCCTTACCCCAATTTCCTGCTCTATAAACTGCACTGACTACAGCATCAGTCACCTTCATGTGTGTGATTATCAGCAGTTCTGGGGTGGGGAGCTGCTGGCCCAGTCAGGAGATGGGCTAAAGTTGGGCATGGGAAGCTCAGTGCTTCCTCTGACAAGTTGGTGCCCCACTGGCCCTCAGTTTTCCTGTGTGAAACAGCCCTACAGCATGGTGGTTGTGGGTACTAGCCTCATAAGAATATGTAGCACTCAACTGGGGCAAGAGTTGTCCTCATCTCCCCAAGCAATCTCCTCCAGGGAAGGGACTCTGTCCAAGGTTGTTGAGGACCAGATTAGTATCCTTCCCACCAATGGCATTGCCCCAGGTCTCTCTGGGTGACACTTACGGCTGAAGGCCTCCGGATGCTGCCTGGCCAGCTTCCCTTTCAGCGTCCTACAGAAGAAGGGAAAAAACACAGGGCTAACCCTGCCAAGCTAGTGAATAGGTTGTGCCTGGTGCAGGCCAGGGCCTTGCGGTCAGCTCCAGGTGGACACCAGGAACCTCCACCTTATTGCTCCTCACATTCTGCTCCTGGGCTGGAGGGGACAGAGCTCAGTCTTGTGTACCTACCACCCCAAAGTGGGTGTCGAGTACCCAGCATACATGCAGCTTCCATATATCCTGGGCACTGGGCCTGTGCTCTGGTTGGGCCCACTTGGGAGGCCCTTCGTCCATCTTACCCTCCTCTGCCAGAACAACCTTCTGGAAACTTCTTGTCCCTTCCTTAGCCAGGCCCCCCAGAAACAGCACCATTGTTGAGTTAATAAGACTTTCCCAGGAACAAATAAACACCCATCTCCATCCTGGATGGTACACATAAAAGATGCCAATCATTCGCATCCTAGCTCCCCACCATTGCATCACACCTGGGAGAGCAGCCCAGTGAGACCCGCCAGGAAAAATGTGCTGTTTTAAAGGATTCACTGGCCCATCTGTGGCTTCTGCACTGCCTGCTTAAGGATACATTTCCCCTATTCTCTGATACCTGTTTACCCAGTTATCCCCAGAAAAGGGAGCGGTACAATGGGCCTGTGGGGCTGGCAGTTTCAGGTTGTGGTTCTAATTTGGCAGCAGCGGTGATGCAGGCTCTTGGCATGGTCTGGCATGTTCTATGTGCCAGGAGACTAGGAAGTTTCCCCCTATCCTCACCAGCTTGGGAAAGACTTAGAAAACCCAGCAAGTTCATCTGCCATTTGAAAGAAGACCTGAGGTTGGGGAACAAGGGCTCAGGAAGCTATCCTTTTCTTGTCTGCTCTTGCCTGCCTTTCCCATTATTACTACATTGCAGTTTTGGAAAGAAAAAAAAATTAAGAAACTTCAAGATTTTAGGCCCTCTCTGATGGCACAATGGGTTGAAGCACAGCACTATGAGGCTAGCTGCAGCTGTTTTAACTCAAGTTCCATCTCCAGGCAGGGAGGTGACCTACATCGTGCAGCAGACCTCTCCTGTCTCCCCCGATGATCCCCTCAGCAGTACACTTCATCGATCTGCCTGTTCTGCTCCCCACTCTGTCTCTAGTGAATCCTGACTGCCCCTGTGCCTCTGGCCTGTACCCCAGTTCTGTATGCATAAATAAAATTTATATGCATACAGAACTGGGGTACAGGCCAGAGATGCGGAGCATGAGAGGATTCAACAGAGACAGAGTGGGGAGCAAAACAGGCAGATCAACGAAGTACACTGCTGAGGGGAGCAGCGGGCAGGTCAGGAGAGGTCTGCCATGCCATGTGGTCACCTCCGGGGCAGGCGGGAATCGAACTCATGTGGACGTGGCTTTCGCTTCTTAGTGCTGTGCTTTAACTGGCTGCACCACCAGGGAGGGCCTAAATAAATAAACCTTAAAAAAAAAAATTCAATATTTTTATCCCAAAGTATAGAGCTTATCAGATACTAAGCACAGGATAAAGCCTTACCACACTCTTCTGTGTGGCACATGGTGGGGGTGAGGGACTATCAAGAGGAAAGAATATGGGGCCCAGGGCGGTGGCAGAGACTGAAGGACTGCATACCCACCTGATCCTACGGAAAATGCTGTCCAGGTCCCGCTTCATCTCCACTAGGGTTCTTGTATGGTGCAGGAAACGTTCACTCATCTGCTGCAGGCGAGCACTTGACAAGTTGTTGAAGTTCAGCAACATTTCATTGGTCTTCTCAAAGCGATCTAGCCTGGCAGCAGGGAGAGGGCACAGGTTCCTTTGCTTGGTCTCCAGGATCTGCCAATTGCTTATATTAGGCCTTTTCCTCCTCTACAATATTTGTATGTGCAGCTCTCTTTTCCTGCAGTGCTCTCCCTGCTATTTGAGCCACCTGGAAAACTCCTATTCAACCTTCAAAACCCTATTCTTACAGGGTCCTTGTGTATACCCTTACTCCCCTCCCTCAAGCAGATTCTGACTTCACTGGCCAGGGACATCTGCATCTAGTTGTCTTCCCTTAGTCTGGAAGTTCTCAGGGGCCAAGTCTGAGTCAGACCTAGAGATTGAAGAGAAAGATAGGTATTGCTGAGATCCATACATACTGAGTGTGAGGCTATCAGAGCTGCTCTGTGATATAAATGCAGCCTTTGCATTAAAGAAACATGCTTCTACTCCAAGACTGTGCTGACCCTGTTCCTATAAGGCAGGCCAGAATGAAGGTAAGCTACAGAAGTCATGGTGCTAAGCCCCAAGGACACTTCGCACTTGGCCTGAATGAAGAGACCAGCTCCCTTAAATCTCTATCTCCCCTTCCCAGCCACCCAACTTTTCTTACCCAGGCCTTGGCATAGGAAGGAACAGCTGCTGCTACCACCAAGCCATAGCTGCACAATCATCCAGGAGCCCTACTTCCTATGCCAAGGCTTTGCCTCTGAACCAGGCAGGAATTCACGCTGGAGACAGCAGGCTGATACACTGTCTTCATTTTATCACCAGGATGGGCAGGGGAACAATGCTGGCCAATGAGTGAATTCCTTCCCACACCTAGTCACCACTCACATATTCTTCTGGGCCAGGATGATGGCATTGACATCGTCCACATTCACCATGCTTAGGATGCGGCTGCAAAAGACCCTCGAGGCCGTGTCCGGGGGGTCCATCTCTTCTTCCTCCTCCGCTGTCTGAAACAGAGGCCACCAGAAGAATTTTTGGTTCCACCAGGCACTGGAGAGATGAGGTAGAGAGGAGGGGTGGGAATCCCATGGGTCACCTGACCTAACTCAGTCATACCCTTTGAGACTTGGCTCTATGATCTAAGGAATTCAGGGTGTTGACAGAACTGCAGAAGGCCACCTCAGATTCCCATCACCACTCTCATATCTATGGTCTCCACTCTCCATGTACACAAGATTAAGGGCACCTACCCCCAACACAGATCTGCCAGCCTCCTCCCACACTCCTGCCTTAGCCCCATTCCCACCACAGGGCTTTTGCATCTGCTATGCCCACGTGGGACATGCATGGCTGCCCCGTTGAATCATCACCGGAGTCACTATCATATCTCTCTCTGTGTCTCATGGTCTTAGGTATTTATTCCTATTCTACTCTTATCACTTCACCTTATTTCAACTACTTCATGGACTCATCTCTTCCAGAAATTACTTTAGCTATTAATAGATTGTTTGCTTGTTATAGCTTCAACAGGTATTCTGAGCAGAGGCATATGTCTTCCTCACTCTGCAGAAGCCAGCCTAGACCCTGGCTCACAGCAAGGGATGGCCAGAACTTAGTTTGGCAGAAGCACAGAATCTTTCAAACTCAACTTTGGCACTGTACTTTCATTAGCAAGTTAAAGCCAAGAATCTCAGGCACTCTTGGCCAACCACGACACAGATAGCACTGCAGCTCCTAGCTTCCCTGGCACATAGATAACCATTAAGGCAGGTGGTGGTTGTAGGTGGAGGTGGGGTGGCTTGAGGGCTTCCTAGACCATGACAGGAAGGGCCAAAGCTTCAGCACTGACCCTCCTGGGTACATTCAGGAAAAACTCAGGATCTTAAGGAAGCTCGGTTCTGGATGCACTTGTGATAGTTACAATTCACTACAAAATCAAGAAGGATTATAAGAGTTCATTAAATCCACCTTCCTTATTGAGCACCTACTCTATGCTAAAGAAGGCACCAACCTCACACACTGGGAATCGTTTCTATGAAAAAAATGGAGGCTCAGTAACTGACTATCGTAACACAGCTAGTATAACTGAGTCACAAATGCCCTTGGTCCCCAAGATCCACAAAGGTGCGAAGTGAATGACAGGACAGCTGCTTCTTAGAACAACTGATTTTTGCTAGACTTCTGATTTTTTTCCCGGGGAGGAAAAAAAATACTGATTTTTTTTCTTCCACGAAATTGCCTTATTTACAAACATGACTAATATTTCACCCCAGAAAACACCAAAAAGGCTGAATTAGTCCGGTGGCTTTAGTCCTGTCGTGCCTTTTAGAAATTTGCCACACCTGGTAAAGTCCCCCCCCCATAAACTATATTGAGTTTCTGTTCTGTGCAAGATAAGGGGCGCCCACCGTGTCCACATTTCCAAAGCATGACCAACTAGAAAGGACACTTGGCTGACAGGGCAGTCATGTGTTAGGAACCCAGAGAGAGTTCAAATCATAGGATGTGAGCTTTTGAGAAAGTTAATGCTTCAAGGTGGGGTTCTTTCCTGCCGCTGGATCACAGATGTGAGGGACTTAAGCGAAAACAGGTGCACACACTCTCTCTCTTTCTCTCTCTCTCTCTCTCTCTCTATTAGGAAGCCTTCCCTGATGACAGTCCAGTTCACATGCAGGATGGAAATGATCCAGCAACAGCAAGGTCCTAAATATATTAAAGGGGTAAACACGGAGAGGCAGGTTGTGTAACCTTGGGAGAGTAACATCACCTCTCTGCGTCAGCTTTCTAATGCAGAAAACAGAAATTACGAGGACCTCCCTGTCTGTGGGGCTGAAACCAACAGTGATGAGGGGATGGGCTGAGTAAGCTGTTTCTCCAAAGAAGAGTGTGAGAAATTCCTGACAGGGCCCAGGAACCAGCTTTTAACGAGGGCCTCCTAGGTGCTTACAAGTTTTGAGCAAACAAGTTAACCAATTCATTTAATCCCTAATCACCCTAAAGGGTCAACCACAGCTCTCATGAGTGGGCTCCGCTGCCCAAGGTCACACGGAGAGCCGCAGCGATGCTCCACACGGGTAATTTCACTGAACTTGATTTCGCCCAAGTTAGGTAGAATCCCCGAGTGGATCCGGAATCGCGATTCCCTCATGCCCCACCCCTGCAAAACGGGGAGACTAAGGACCACGTAGGGCAACGCCCAGACTCCACCGTACTGCCTGAACTTAAGTGGCCCTAACTCCCAGTCCCCAGTTCCGAATCTGGATGCGGATCCCGCCCGCGGCTCTGCCCGCATGTCCACTGCGCAGACGGGGAAACTGAGGTCTGTGCGCAGGAGGAGTGCCCTGACATGGCCAGCAGCACGCCCCAACCCGACGTCCCGGCCCCCGTCGCCGCGATCCCACCCATCAGTCGGTCTCAGCGGCGGCGGCAGCGGCGGCGGCACCTGCACATCTGGCGACCTGGCTCGCGCTTCCGGGATGGCGTCTGCGCCGCCGCGACGTCACTACGCACTATGCAAGCAGGCGCGCGTGACAGCGACGTGCCGAGGGCCAAAGGAGTGCGTGGAGGCGTGGCAGGAAGGGGCGGGACTCAGACGCAGCTCTTATTAGCGTGTGCGTCACAACAGGGAGCCAACCAAGCAGTCTTTCTTGCGCCTCCTTACTTCCCGAAGCCGGAATTTCTTGAAGCCCGGAAGTGGGTAGAGGGGGAGGCAACGCATTTTATGGTTTTATGGTTAAGACTGAAGTTGCGTTCTTGTAGCAAAAATCCCATCAAAATGTTTATGTATTTATCGTAATGCATCATCAGGAGAAATGGGATATTAATGTGTCTCATATTGGTGATGTTGAACTTAATTGCTAGCTTAAGGCAGTGAATGCCAGTTGCCAAGCCACTGTTTTCCCTTTGCAATTAATAAGTACTTAATGGGAGTGATATGGCGTTGTGTTTGTTTTGACATTCATTTACAATACTATATGTGATTTAGGGGAATAGATCCACACCTCCTCAGGTGTATGTCATCACACTATACCCACCACCTATTTTGTTTTTAAGCATATTTTCATCCACTAGCTTTAGCATCTATGGTTCTTGTTAGCAACATTTATTACTACAGCGTTTGCATAATGGTGATTTTGTTATTACTAATTGAAATTTTCCTAGAACCAAGGTTTTGATGCAGTTATGGCCAAGTCCAAGAACCAACCCACCATTCTCCAATTATGTATGTATTCAAGTATTTATATCATCATAAACTTAACTATTTACTCTGTGGGTTATAATTAAGTTATCTTTATATATTTTCCTGCTGCCCCTTAAGTTAGCTACTGTGCCTTTTACTATATCTTCTTTTCAGTGCTGTCATGCCCTGCATAACTGCTGATGTGCAAATGAACTGTTTATGTGATGGTGGTCCTTAAAGATAAACTGAGTAGGGTATACCATCTAGGTTTATATAATTATACTTTATGACAGTTACACAATGGTGAAGTCATAGAATGATGCATTTCTCAAAATGTATCCCTGTTGTTAAGTGGCACATGACCATATTTCCTTACTTTTAGAACCACGAGATCTTCCAAAGTAAAGAGTAGCTACTTTTCCAATGAGCTTGGTTCCTTTTATTGAAGAATGGTATTTAGAAACCAAGCTGTGGGTGCTGGGTGTGTTCATTGCTACTGGGGTGTCACTATTCTAGAGTTTCTCAGCAGTTGGAATTAGGAACTACATGTATATCCACTAACACATGTACAGATCTATATTCGTTTCATAGTTTATATGGAAATTATAGTTTATATATACATGAGAAACATACAAATATAAGAATGCATTTTTTTGGACAGATTCTGCTTACAAAAGCACAGGTAGATACCAGTGCCCTGCAGACAGCAGCCCAGGGCTCACACCAGTCCTTCTTCCTTCTCAAGGGTAGATGGGGTTCTCTATCTAGAGCTTTTTTTTTTTTTTTTTAAGATTTATTTATTTGTGCATACAGAACTGGGCTACAGGCCAGAGGCTCAGGGGCAGCGAGAGGCTTTACCAGAGACAGAGTAGGGAGCAAAACAGGCAGATCAACGAAGTACACTGCGAGGGGAGCAGCGGGCAGGTCAGGAGAGGTCTGCCACGCCATGTGGTCACCTCCGGGGCAGGCGGGAATCGAACTCATGCGGAAGTGGCTTTAGCTTCTCAGTGCTGTGCTTTAACCCGCTGCGCCACCAGGGAGGGCCTATCTAGAGCTTTTATGGAGGACTGACCACCTTTAGGGGCTTGGGTACCTTTGGGAACCTGTACTGTAGTCACATCCTTGGCCTCAGTTTGAACCTTCTTTGTTGGCCAGGTGAGCCTGAGACCCCTAGCAGTGCGCAATGCCCTAAGTTTGGGGTGAATGATGTAGGCAAGTTGATTGACTTGCAGCTATGGTCCTTTGGGATGTTAGTTTAGACCTTCTTGGGCTTTACAAGGGCCCTAATACCCTCAGCACTGCACTCATGGCCTTATCATTGTTGATCTGTATTTCTTCATGTCCTTCTTGTTGGGTTTCTTGGTAAAGCACATGTTCCTTAGGAACTTGGGGTCCACTCCATTAAGAGATTCATGTCTTTGTGATCATACCTTTCTGGTTTCTTGATACCATTTCTGTGCCATTTTCAGGATCAACTGTGCACAATGTGTTTCTTGGACTTGACCATAACCACATCAAAACCTGTGGCTCCCCAGGTGCCCCCTTGAACTGGAAGAGAAAGAACTGAATATGCTTTTATTTAAAGACTTATCTGTTTATGCATATAAGAACAAGGGCTCAGGCCAGAGGTATTGGGGTGAACGGACTCACCAGAGACAGAGTGGGGAACAGAACAGACTGACTGACTAAAACATACTGCTGAGGGGAGCAGCAGGAGAGGTCTGCTGTGCCATGTGGGTCAGTTCCTTGGCTGGAGAGTGAACTCATCCTGCTGTGGTTGGGGATAGCTTCATAGTGCTGAGACTTAATCCCTTGCATCACCAGCTAGTGCTTAAAAAAAAATTCATTTTTATTTATTTATGGGATGTAGGCCAGAGGTGCAGAGGGAGTGAGGTGAGAGGATTCACCAGAGACAGAGTGGGGAGCAAAACAGATGGATCTACTGAACTACACTGCTAAAGGGAGCAATGGGCGAGACAGGAGAGGTCTGCTGTACTATACATGGGTCAGTTTCCTGGCTTCTGAATGGAACTTGGGCCACTTCAGTGAAGTCACTGAGACTTAACCCCTCAGTCACTAGGGAGGCCCCCCAAAATGTACTTTTAAGTGAGATAACACAAGTTAAACAGGGAAAGTAGGAATTGCTCAATAAATATTAGCAAATTTCATTAGTTATGGAATTTTGTGATGTGTGCAGGTTATATATTGTATATAACTGTGAGTCAGGTTCACAGAATGAGCCTTTTAAGGTTAAAAGAATTTGGGAAATATACACATGTCATCTGGCATAAGGAAGATTGAGAGCCCTGGAACTGGATATATCTAAGTGCTAATTTCCAGTTCTGTTACATGCTAGCTGGATGGCATTGGGCAAGTGACTTAACTATATGCTATCAGGCAGGTGAAATCATTACAGGCCTAGGCATGCTGTAAGCCCTCAGTAAACTATAGGTAAAATTATAACTCCCGTACTTTTACCTTCATTTACTGAAAATCTAATGGGAGCCTGGATTTTTACATATTTAATTCAACTAACAATTTTAAAAATTGCTAAGTGAACCTTCCAGCCAATCCCTCTGGTCATTGTCAATATTCTAGGGATCTAGAGAGTCCTCAGCTTTGGCAGATGAAGGGAGAGACTCTGACACAGACACTCCCAGTGCCAAAGGGAATGATCCAGGGCTAGAGTGGGGAGGAGCTTAAGGTTAAAGGAATCTAAAGAGTAGTGGATGACTCATTTGGGGTGCAAAAAAAAGACTGCAAGGAAGTGGGTTCATTTGGATAAAGTTTTAAGATTGGATTGGGAGTATTCTAGGTGCTGACAATCTGAGCTGACAATCTGAGCTAGACAGGATGGTAGATAAGCACAAGATGGTGGATTTGATCCTTGTAAGAAATGGGGAGTTCAGTGAACCAGACAGCAGCCAGTGCTGATAGGGAGGAGCGGGGTTGGGTGCTGGGAAAAGTGGAACTTTTCCATCTGTTAAAAAATAGGGTTAGGAGGCAGCACTGCAAGTTAGCCACAGCCGCTTCAGTACACGTTGGATCCCTGATCCTAGAGGTGATCCACGCGCAGCAGACTTCTCCTGACCCGCCCGCTGCTCCCCTCAGCAGTGTACGTAGTTGGTCTGCCTGTTTTTTCCCCACTCCCTCTCTGGTGAATCCTCTCACTGCCCCTGCACCTCTGGCCTGTATGCATGCATGCATGAATGAATAAATAAACCTTAAAAAAAAAAGTGGAACATTTCTGTCTGTAAACTGTAGCAGAAGGGTCCTAGGTTGGAGAAACCAAGGGCTCTGCAGAGTCCAGAAAACATTTATAAAGATCTTGGAAGATATGGAGGAATGCATACTGATGACAAAAGGAAGCTACCAGCCCCAGATATTTTGTGTACTGTAGAGAGACAGATAATAAAATATTTCCTTTAGTTGTGTGTTTCAGGGAGAGGGTGAGAATCCATGAGAATGCTCTGTGATAGGAAAATTGGGGGAGAGTGAGTTTTAGGACTGGAAGCCTTTATCTCCCACTTTTTTCAGTTTTATTTTCATGCAGCACTCATCACAGCTGCAATTAGATACTATGTGCATCACTGTTGTGCAGTATTAGCTCCTGGCTGGAAGGAAAGCTCAACTGGGAGAGAGCTGGCACTTGAAACTGTTTCTGTTTCCCATCTAAAAAGCATGTATCAATTCCAAAAGGTGGTTAACAAAAAGTGGGAAAAAGGACCTAGAGTTAGTGAGGCAAAGAAAAACACTTGAGAAGTCATATTTAAATCCAAATAGATCTATAATTATATTAAATGTAAATAGACCAATATCCTAGTTAAAAGACAAAGATGGGCAGACTGGATCAAAACGCAAAAGCTGATTCTATATGCACAAGACCAGAAGGTTTGACATGAGGGTATAAAAATATAAAAGGGTGGAAAAGGAGGGAATATTTAAAACAATAACCAAAAGGAAAAGGGTGTGTGTTGTTAATATCAAAGTCCAGACTGAGGTAAGAAGCATGGTGATAAAGAGGGCCATGTCATAACAATAAAAGTTCATTTCAGAGCCCTCCCTAGTGGTACAGGGGTTAAAGTCTCATTGCTATCAATCTATGGCCAGCCACTATGGCCTGAGTTCGATCCCCAGCCAGGGAGCTGACCCACATGGCACACCAGACCTCTGCTGTCTTATCTGCTGCTCTCCTGAGTGGTGTATTTAGTAGATCTGCCTGTTATACTCCCCAATCTGTCTCTGGTAAATCCTCTCAACCTCCTCACCTCTGGCCTATGACCCCGTTCTTGTATGCATAAATAAATAAATCTTTTTTTTTTCAAAGCAATGTACAAAAACAAAAAGTTTATTTCACTTGAAAAACATGACAGTTGTAATTCATGTAGCTGATGATGTGACCCTGAATTATCAG